GTTGATAGCTGGGCTCAGTATTGCCTTAACTCAGAGCCAAAAAAAGCTGTTGCTCCCCTTATTAGAAGTGATTGTCACTATAAGTTGAGTGGCAGAGACTGGGACACAGATCTGCAGCTTGGCCTCCCCAGCTCACAATCATGAGCACTTTGCATCAAGGTGTCACATTAGGTGCAGTGGGGCCAAAACACAGCACCCATCTCTTCCAGAGGGAAGTGGATCAAGCCTAAAGTGGCCTGAAAAAGTAAGATATCAGTTGTACAACACGATTGCTCCTCCCTCTCCCAGTTTAACATATATGGGACAAACACAAGCAAAAAGAAGCAATGTTTAGTGGCACTATTTCCATTAAAAACAGCTGATTCCAGCCTCCTGTCTTGCTGGCAGTGAGTGCCATGCAGATGATCCATGCAGACTTACTTCAGTGCCCAGCTCTTGCCCAGCCACAGCTCTTCCTTTTCCTGCTGGAAAAGGAACATATGATCTGCCCTTTAGGAGCAGAAAGGCAAGTACTTGTTAATGGGGCACTTTGGAGATCTCCTCCCCACCCAGTGCAAACTACTCCAGCACAGACACTACTTTGGCAGCAGAAGGATAAAACCGTCGAGGAGACTTTTCAAATGTTTGAAGATGGAATTTGGATAGGACCATGACAAGAGAGCATGGGAGATTTGGAGGTCTTACCAGCAGAGGAGACTATGTAATAGGAGAAATGGGTGAACAAACACTCACCCTCTTTTTGTCTCTTGTGATCTGACTAGTACTCCAGACCCTTAAACTTTATGTGGGACAATGAAAGTACTTTGATTCAAAGAATCACAGAATGGCTTCAGTTGGAAGGAATCTCAAAGATCACCTCCTTTCAATCCCCTGCCATGGGCAAGGACATCTTCCACTAGACCAGGCTGCTCAGAGCCCCATCCAACCTGGCCTTGAGCACTTCCAGGGATGGGGGAGCCACAAATTCTCTGGGCAATCTGTGTCAGGCTATTTCCTTTCTGCATCCTCCTGTATGGTTCCTTCCTGTGATTTTTGACTTAAATGCTGTTTGATGTCATCCTGGATATCAGGATAGGTGAATATCCTTCACTGTGGAGATCCAGAGGTGTTCAAAGCAAAGGACTAATAGTTGTCACTGCAGCTGACAAACTGCTGTTGGACAATGCTCACACTTGCCTTAAAATCTCTCTTCCCTAACAGTTAATTTCATGTTCTGGATGGATGTTCTGGATATTCATGTTTCCTGGTTGTTTCCTTTTCTGTTCTTTTCTGTCCTAATTAATTCTCCAGATTAATTTATCAGCTTGTCACTCATATGTGACGGACTCAAAGGAAAGGTGGCCAAACCAGACTGTGAGATTAATTATTTGGCCAGCTGGAAACAGCTTGTGTGCTACAGGCTGGGCATCCCTGTCTTAGGGAGTGATGAATTCCATCAAAGACTTAAAAGAAAGACAAAGAGAGGATCTATCAGGATCACAACCCAATTTGCAGGCCACTTTCCTCCCAGCTTGATGTACACCTACAGATTAAAAGTAAGAGCTTCTTACTTTTGGGGTGTTCGGGCTAATTGAGAGAGATTTTTGGTACTGGCAGTCAAATGCTGAGACAACATGAATCTATTCCATAAAGGTATTAGTTTTCTCTTAAAATAATTAAAAATATAATAGTTCATCACAGGTAAATATACATTTATATAGTTATTGGTTCCCTTTTGCCCCATGAGATGGCTGTGATTTTTGATTTCTTTTTTTACAGACCTACTGTGCTCTGCAATTCCAAAAGCCTTCCACAGGCTGGAAGACTTGTCTCTACTATGGTTTATCTACAAATCCCTGTTAGGAAAAGGAAAATGGCATGGAGTGAGAAGCACAAGGCCAGCATTTCAAATTAAGGTGTTCTGTCAAGAGGAAGACTCAGGTGTTTGCAGCACAAGTGTGAGCTCTGAAAATGAAGTTAAAGGTGTTAACACTGATTGAAAATTAAAGGGGTTATGCAGAAGGGTGCAGATGGAAATCCAAAGGGCAAACAGCTTCAAAGAGTGAAAAAAGAGAGGTGTGGAGAGAGAGAGGGAGGGCAGGAGAGAGCGGAGGGGAAGAGACATCTTTGGACATTGGGCAATGGGGACAAAATGCCAGTCCTCAAATGAGCAGTTTACAATAGAAATGACAAATTGGGTGCAAGACAATCAACCATTTCTGGGCTGGGCAGGGGACAGGATAAATCCGTAAAAAGACCAAGCAAGGTTAAGCATTGATTGAGGCCAAGGAACTGAAGGCCACCCACTCAGATCAAATGGGAAAGCACTAATGGGAAAGACATTTTGGAAGTTAAAAATATAACCGATTCCTGAATCTGGAAACACAGAGCTGTAAAATAACAGCTGTACAGCAAGGCAGAACAAAGTTTTCTTTGGTGGTTGAATGAAAGGTGGTTGAATGGGAAGACACCGTCTGCTTTATCAGAAATAGGCTCTGCCAGGCCCTCAGCCAGGACGGTTTCGTGGGGAGAAAGGCAGGATCACATTCCTCCAGGGTGGCAGCACAGCTCTGTCCCACAGGCCAGGGCAGCAGTCTTCAAAGTAACAGTGAAATATTAGACGTTTTAAAAGGATTTCCCACTATATTGATGTTGTTCCCATAACACCAGCCAAGGAGTAGGAAGGCAGCACATCAAAACACATTTGCATGCACTTGGGAGCAGGCGTCTCTTCTGTACCAGATAATGCTTTCTAGTGCCTGTAAAGGCAACATTTGGGCTGCAAGTCCACAGAAAAATCTTCCTGTGGCACCTGCACCAAAGGCAGGATGCTGGGAAAGCAGCCTTCATTGCTGCTGGTGTTTGAAGTAATTAGTGAAACCCAGGGGCATGTTGAACTCCAGAGGGATGAACACTCTCATTCTGCCCCAGTGCCACTCTGACCATTTCCACTGCTCCCAGGGCAACACCTGGCCCCGTGATTTAGGATTGCTGTGACTGTCCACGAGCCAGCAGTGTGTCCTGAAGGCCAAGAAGGTCAGTGGGATCCCAGGGTGCACTGGGAAGAGCATTGTCAGCAGGTCAAAGGGGCTGATCCCACCCCTTTACTCAGCCCTGGTGAGGAACATCTGGAATGTTGTGTCCAGTTCTGGCTCCTCAAGAGAAATATGGAGCTCCTGGAGAGGGTCCAGCAGAGGCTGCAAAGATGATTCAGAGACTGTAGCATCTCCCTGGGGAGGAAAGGCTGAGGGAACTGGGGCTGTTCAGCCTCCAGAGGAGACACTGAGAGGGGACCTCATCCATGTGTGTCAGTGTGTGCAGGGAGGGGGCAGAGGATGGACCAGGCTCTGCTCGGGGGTGCCCAGCAATGGCACAAGAGGCCACGGGCAGGAACTGATGCCCAGGAAGTTCCAGCTGGACATGGGGAAGAACTTCTTTGCTGTGCAGTGACCGAGCACTGAACAGATTGCCCAGAGAGGGTGTGGAGTCTCCCTCCCTGGGGATATTCCAGAGCTGTCTGGACACAATCCTGTGCCATGTGCTCTGAGATGACCCTGCTGGAGCAGAGAGGTGAGACTAAATGGCCCACTGTGGTCCCTTCCAATGTGACCCATCCTGTGATTCTGTGACTGCAGTGACTGACCCCAGGCAGAGCACAGACATGAACTGTACCCCAGCTCAGGCTGATTGCAAAGCATTTGTGCACTCCAGAAGTGCAACAGGTGCAATGCAGCAAGGAGTTCATCTGTCAGTGGCTCCTCTGTTTGACAGTGAGGACTGGCAATGCTCAAAGAACCACAGAAGAATCACAGGTCACAAGATCCAAGAGACTGCAGGCTCAGGAGCTGAAAACACTCTTAGCACTTCCCAAGCATCACATTTTGTAGCAGCAGAGGACACAGCCACTGATACTGTCTGCATCTCTGCACTCTGCCTTCTGCCAGCTCAGTGTTCCCCACTGAGTTTAAGTCAAAAAGTTTCAGATTTTTCCTTCAAGCTGTGGTACACAACAGAACAGCGACAGCTTCTGTGGATTTTTTATCTTAAACTCTTAGTAGCTCTTCCTAAATCTCCTGCAAAGCTTGAAAAAGGAACAAGGCAGAAAAAGATCATCATCTTACAGCATAACCAGTGACTGCTTTATGACATAGTAGCTGCTACTCACATTTTCCCTGGATAAGCTGCTGGCATGCTGGAAGGAAAGGGCAGATTGCTGAGCTTACTTATGAATTTCCTGCAGACTAACCACATTCATACAAGAAGACTGTGTAGATCCCCTACTGCTTCATCAAACATTAATTTGTAGACAAGCCTGTCAGCTCTTTCGATTAAAACTTCTGTTTTTTGATGGAAATCAGGCTTCCAAATTTGTTTCCTTTTTTTTTTTTGGCAAATACTATTCTTTATTATTCGGAAGTTATTATTCCAATACCCTTATTATTCCAGTATCCTTATTATCCCAGTGTTATAACCTATTACTCCTCAGGAACTAGTTTTAAACCATTCAGTGGAATCAATATTTTTAGCTGACATAATATGGTTTGTATCAAAGGTGGCAACATTTGCTGCTGCTGGTTAGTGAATCACAGAGATCTGAGAACGGCATCCATTGACATCTGTTTGACACATCACATCCCTTTTAGCTACCGTGCCTCTTATTACCTTCAGCTGCTACCTCTGCCTTGGATTTTCAAATCCAAGAATACTGAACTTTGCTTATGCAATAAACAGGACACCTGCCTTGCACCTGTTTTAGGCATTTACTAATGACAGTGAAGCACTGAGCTGCCTGAGCTAGAGGGAAAAACAAAAATATTGCTTCAAATTGCAAGAGAAGTAGCCTACAGAGGACTGCTTTATCAGTGTAATCTGGCAAAATGCTGCATCCTGGAACAAACCCTGCTCTTCAGTACTGGCTAAAGAATAGAGACAATTTTTCAAGGCTATGGATATTCATACCAGCAAATGATGTGCTACAGCATTTTCACCATGATCAAACACATAAGAAAAGTCAGACTTACCTCTAGATGAACCTTTTTTGATCCCATATGTGAGATGCAGAAATCAGGAGAGGGCTGTGGAAAAGCACGACAGGTACCAGTTGGGAGGCAGAACAGGCTCCCAGCAGTCAGCACTTGCAAAATGGCTACGGAAAGACTGGAGCAGTTCTGCTCTGCAGAACTTAAAGGGCCAGATTGCCACAAGCACACTGGGGCAAAAACCTGTGTAAGAGCATAATTCTCCACTGGGAGAAGGCAGGCCCCAGTCCAGGAAATATTTAAGCATGTACTTAACTCTAAGCATATGAGTTCTCCTTTTGACTTCAGTCTGTGCAGTCCTGTACAAGCATGTGGATAAAAGTCAGCAGGACTGCATTTACTGACATGCACAAAGTTACCCAGGAGTGGGACGCTCTATCACAGTGCTTGTTACAGCTTCATCACAAAAGCAGTGAGGTAGCATCACAGTTAATTCCCCCTCTGGTGAGTTACTCTGATCAGTGATTAGTGTTAAGATATATTCCACAAGTCCAGAAAGAAAAATAAAAAATAATCAAAATGTGCCCTAAAAGATCTCAAATCATTGCAACAAACATTGCTCGTCTGATATTTCTAATTTTTTCAGCATAATGACCACAATACATCCCCATCTAATTGAAACAATTTCAAAACACTTTGGACTGGTCAAAGTAAGTGAAAATACCCTCAGTTATGGATTTACAGCTTCCCTCTCCTCTATAACTGAATCACAGGGTGTAAAATATTTTGAAGGGAGAGTAGAAACACCCCAATGACAGGGCACAGATACGATTTGTAGGCTCACCATTGGCAAAGTGATCTTATGCATCCATTTTCTGCTTCCATTTTCTGCTCCTTATCAAAGGAATTGTAACATTTTTCTCACCTGCAGCATTTAGTGACTCTCATGGTTAATAAACACTTCAACTTTTAGCACTTACTCTTACAGTCACATGGATGGGAAGGAGACTTTCGAGGCACAAGACACCAGAATTATATCAGAGGGTTTTAAAGGAGAGTTTCCTCTTAGTCTTGCTGCCCAAGGCTATCCCAGCGTTGCTGCAGAGGACAGGTGGAGCCTATACAGTGTGCCCAGACCTTTGTCCACCACAAAGCCCCCAAAATGCCATATACAAGGGTTCCTGTCAGTCATGAAAGGTGGCATCATGGCTTTGGGACAGGTAGGAGGGTATTTCTGCAGTTACGGGTTATGAATAGGCCACAAATCTGGTCAAAGGCTTGCTTTGAAATAGCTGTTCTGTGTCACAGAATCATAGAATGGTTTGGGCTGGAAGGGACCTTAAAGTTCCCACTCCTCTGAAAAAAAGGTATGGGTTTGTTTATGGGATTTATTTGTTTATATTGAATAATATAACCATTCAAATGCAGAAATAAAAGCTTAGTTTTTTGCATATTTTTCCTTATGATTAGGAGCTAATCTTAGCTGTTTTCCCAATGCCATCATTTTCCTCCTGACACGGAGTTTAATCTATATTCTGCTCATGTTTCCACAAATATGAAATCAACATTAGGGTCAATATTGAAAATATTTTACTTCGTAAAACTTCATTAAATTCGTATCACCAAATAAAACCCTATATTTGCAATAACTCTGACTTGCACACAAGCCATAAACCACTCATCTTTGATTGCCTCCAGACACAGGAGGCTATGACCTCCTCAGACATCTTAGCACCAGAGGAATTGCTGTGCAAGTTTCATTTGCTGCATCTTGTTTCAGGAAACGTGGGGGGGTTTTTCCCCACTAATTGGAACGTCCCGAAATGTCGTGAGGCTCATTCTCGTCCTACTTTCCCCACTAATATGTTTTATGCCAGTCATTTCAGTCAGGGTGATACCAGACCCCTCTGCTCAGTGGAAGTAGTTCCCACTTCATGTTTTGTGTAGCTGTGCGGGTTGCAGCATTTTTGCAGTGTGTCATTAGCATGACTGATTACATGCTACTGGCACGTCATGAAAACCTGCCAGATGCAACCAAAAATTGGGTTCTTAATGAATATCTTTGCCTGGTTGTTTTTTTTTTCTTATACTGTGTTCATGCTGGAGTAGCAGCTCTGAAGGCAGTGTTGGAGTGAGATTAGAAGGGACCTGTGGGCTGGATCCTACATCCAAGAGCATCCCTGAAGATATTGGGGTGGGGTGATGGACGTTGAACATATGGCAACTGGAACATGAATTTTGCATTTAATATTACACAATGCAAACATTACTAATAGGTTAAGCATTCATGCATCCTGTAGTCAATTAATGGGGTTTAGTTTATCATCTCAAGACCTCTTAATAATAGAAATTCACTTAAGGGGACTGCTTTATACCCTGCCATTATAACAAATGTTCCTTGTAAGGTATTAAGAGGTGGGAAAAATTTAACATACAGGGATAAGAAAATCAAACAGGAAATGTTCCAATGATTATATTAAATAACTCTGGGTGAGGTAGCAGATAAACAGGGCTAAGGAACTTCAGAGAGTTTGAAACCTTTTACTTTCTGAGCCAGACTGGCCTTTCCACAGACATACTCCTAAAAAATTAAGTACCAAAAGATTTATTAGCTGGAGAGGCAAAAAGTTTTAAAATACTTCTCTTCATTGCTTTAACATGAAGCAGCTCACAGCATGTGTGTCCCTAGACATGAAGGCAGAATAAGATTATTTTGTGATGCAACTATGCTTTGATGGAATAGGTCACTTTATATAGCTTGCTGTAAAGTTTGGTTTAATTGTTTAAAAGCTGGGTTTGTGCTGCCTTGAATATGTGTAGACATAAGAATTTGGTTAAGTCAGCATATACTTTTTTTAATGTATTGGAGCTTAAGATTTCATCTTTTGATGTATCAAATGCTATCATATGCCACATTAGATGCTTATACCACACACACATACTGATGGCTGGTGTGCAAGTTCCTGCAGCCAGGGATGTGTCCAACAAGGCCCTATACAAAATGAAAGTGCTGTTTAGCATACAATGGTCTGGTGGCTATTTTAGATTATGTGAAATTGCCTCTTCACTCCTTATTTCCAAAGCTAAAAAAAGGTTTCTATAAAGACTGTTGGCCTAAAAGCAACATGATAAGGAAGGAGATAAAGTAGTCGGCAGCAGAAACCTGTAATATTTGCAAAAGGAAAAATGAGGAATCAAAAGAAGCAGCCCTGATGGAGGGAAAAAGAGAGTCTAAGGAAGATGTTTCCTTTCTAGTGAAGACAATAGGCACTTGCTTGAGAAAGCAAAGTGGAGCAGACAACAGCAGGAGAAATGTTTCCAGTGGTTCTCACAGAATTGGAACACAGAGTTTTCTTTGGCAAAAGAATTCGCTGTGAGAGCCAAATGTCTTCAGAAACAGCTTATCCTCTGGTAGCTGTCTTTTGCTTAAACACTCCAAAAAAGCATCTGTAAAGCACTGTGAAGCATGAAGCCATTCCAAATGCAATCAGTTAGATAAGGCAACGTCCACTCTGACTTAGCCACTTGTTCTGACAGACTCAGTGACTCAAAGCTCTGTGGAGAAGCAGCTCCAGGCTGCCTGTTGCACGGCAGGACGTCATGGATTAGGTGCCTATAGACAGGCCAAGTGGTTTAGCAAGAACTCAGCCAAGATGCAAAGACCAAAGGGAAAATCCCACTCTTAGATCTGCAGGGCTGACCTCAGACCCCCACGTCTATGAAAGCAGAGCAGGGATCTGCTGCCGTACATTTTTTTTCTTGTGCCTGCATTCCTGGGAGAAAGCACCTAGTGGAGAAACACCAGTTGCCTACAAGGACTTTGCCCACTTGTTTTCTGATGTTTGATGGGAGGAGGGAAGAGGCCAAGGGACAAGAAATATCAATCTTTAGCATTCCACAGGAAAGGGTTTTTCTTCAAGAGCATACACCAAAGTTCCCGGATAGCTGCATTTTAAATCCATTCCTTCCAGGGCAATGATCTGATAGAAGAGGAAAGTCTCTGGGGACACATTGGCTCATGAGAGGAAATTAATGAATGGCATGCAGCTTATACACTGCTGCTTATGTCCTTGTTTGTCAGCTAGCAGCAATACAGGAAAATTCAAGTCCAGCTGAAGCGTGGACACTGGTTGCCAATTTGGCACTGGCTTCCCTGCTGTCAGGTCTTAGTTGACAAAATATCCCTGTTTCAGAGTGACTCAAACATTTTATCTCTGTTTTAAATAAATGATGACAAGCACCTGCAATACCAACAACAAATGCTAGAATATCTTCATTATTACCTAAATGGACTTGGGGTCAGGGTCATGTATTCTATTTAAGTCACATCTGAGGTATAATTTCAAGAAACTAAGTGGATAAAAGAAGAGTCATTTGAACCAAGATCCTATGGCTCCACTTATAAAAAGACTTATACACATACTTTGCTTCACACAGTGCAAAATCAGTGTGTGGCAACACTGTTCACAGGTTTGAAATCATACCTAGAGGTTTGGTAGGGTTGGACCCCTCATTTGCTAATTGAAATGGAACTTCTGTAAAAGTGCTACTCATGTTGATCCATAAAACTCATAGAATCATCAGAGAATCATAGAACTGGACAATTATTTGGGTTGGAAGGGACCTTAAAAGTACTCTCATTCCAACCCCTTGCCATGGGCAGGGGCACCTCCCACTATCCCAGGTTGCTCAGACCCCCATCCAACCTGGCCTGGAACACCTCCAGGGATGGGGCAGCCACAGCTTCTCTGGGAAACATGTGCCAGGGCCTCACCACCCTCACAGGGAAGAATTTCTTCCTAATATATTACCCAAACATTCTCTCTGTCAGTTTGAAGCCATTCCCCCTCGTCCTGTCACTCCAGGCCCTTGGAAATAGTCTGTCTCCAAAAATAAATACATAATTTAATCTTACAGCCCCATAATGAGTAGGAGTCTTATCATAAAATTTGGACAATAATTATTAACTTCCTTATTTTCAGTTGTATTTTTCTTTGAAATGGAGATGTGTAAAATTAGTTCTATTTTTAAAGTTAACATTTTGCCTCTATTTTATTATCCTCTTTTGTCTTAGCATTGTCCATCTCTGTGGTATGGAATTTTTTTCAAATATGAGACATAATGATT